GTTCTTCAAAAACAGATTGCAAAACATTGATCTTCTACATTTATTTTTAAATTTTCAGGATGTGTATTTCCATTGAACTTTTTTGTCAGTTCCATAAATCTTAATCATATTTGGATCCCCTCCCTATCTTCACACCCCACAGGCCTCCCACTGGTTTCCATGCCTTCTGTCATATATGTTAAAACCTGTGGAGTCAACTTGGTGTTGCAACCTATCCCTCTGTGTGAGTTCCTCCACTAGAGCCTGGTCTGCCTATCTAGGATCACTTCCTTAAAGAAAACTAAGTCTCCCTCACCTAGCAGTGATAAGCTGCCAGGAGTTCGTTGCTAAGGTCTGGTTTCTTACTCGTGACCCCAGTTCTATGCTAGGTTTTCATCTGCTTTGAGTTTACATGGGTCTTGTGCATGATGTGGCTATTGATGTAAGTTCATATGAACAGATTTCCGGAAGCCTGGAAAACTCTGTTTCCTTATGGTCAATCACCACCCTTGACTTTTATGATCTTTCCACCCCTTTTGGCTGTTGGGTCCCTGAGCCATGTGTGCGTGTGGTTTAATGTAGGGACATGCACTCTGAAGTCTCCTATTTTCCACGCTTTGGCAGCTTTTGTCATCTGTGTTATTAACACTTGCATGAGGCGGCTTCACTCGTGAGAGTTGTCAGATGCAATATTTTTTCTCTCTACCCCTGGTCCAGTATATTCTGTAAGCATTAGGGTTTCGTGGTTCCATTGTAAATGTGCCACTTAGGCCTGAGTATCTCCCAAACAATGGTTAAAGATCTTTACTATATTGTTACTATTACAGGCCATTTGTTTTTCTTCTTTTTGGAGATGTATGTATTTGTTTAGTTTGTGGATTTGAAATTTTCATCTTTTGACACTTAATTTTGCAAATCCTGTGTATTCTAGATGTTGACATAGTATATAATAATATGTCTCATTCTTCCTGCAGTTTATGTTCTTGGGCACATTTTTTATTTCTACATTTTTTTCAGTTGTTCAGGTTGTTTCCTGAGTGATTTGGTGTATAATAAGAACATCCTTGCTTATGCCTACATCCTGAAGTTTTCCTCTGTCAATTTCAGAACATGATGCTTTATATATTAAAGCATTTTATGCATTTCAAATAGAGTTTTGCAGAGGTTGGAGGTTTGGATCTAATTTAATTCCTTTTTCCTTTACATACTCTGTTTTGATAACACCATTTATTAAAGAGGTTCCCTTTATTTCCAGTGCCTGTTTTTTTACCAGTTTGTAAAAAGTACGCTGGCTATAGATGTGTTAGTTTATTTTTGTGTTTTCTATGCTTTTCCATCAATTTACATTGTTTGATATTTATATATTACCATGCTATCTTTATCTGTATGATAATGAAAATTTAAGTCAGATATTAGGATACTGCTCCCCCAACCCCGTTCCTCTGTTTTTTTTTTTTAATCTGTTGACTTGGATCCTTGTGGTGAGTAGTGTTCCACAATGAGTGTTTTGGGGTGCTTTCATAATTCTTTCTACAATGTCATTTGGGTTTTCATGAGTACTAATTGAGTTTGGTGACCATCCTTAGTAATATTTGCAAAGGATCAGTTTTGCTCAAGAATGAGCATGACTATCCATTACATTGTTTGGTCGCATGTGCGGTTTCTTTCTTTAGGGCCTTACATTTCTTGCTGTGAAATGTTTAACTTCTTTCCTTAGGTTTAATGTGAGGCAATTTGCTATATTTTGATGTGAATATAAATGGCATACTTACTGAATTTTTCTTGGAAAGCTTCCTTTTGGAGTATGAAAAGGTTGGTTTTTTTATGTGCAGCGTAGGTCTGGGTGCATTGGTGTTTCAGAGTGCATTTACCATTCTGTGCAGGTGTTGATTGAGAGGAGACTTATTGCATTTGTTTTCCCTTATGGTTAAATAATTTTCTTTTTGAGACAGAATCCAACCAAAATTCTACCTCTCCATTTGCCTAGATTTTATGGACAGAGTACTCCAGGTTCTTCTCTGCATACTAGCAAAGGTGTCCAGAATCCTGACACAAGGATGAGACTTTTTTTCCATGAGGGCTGGGCCTCAAAACTCAGGTTCTCATGCATACACACCAAGTAGTTTTCCCACCATACCATATCTCCATGATCTAAAAGCTTCTATTGGGGTCCTATTTAGAATATCCTCTCCCCTGTCAATAATATCTGTTCTCTTCCCTTCTTCCTTCTCTATCAGATTCAAAGTATCAGTCTTATGCAAGGTCTCTGATCCATTTGAAATTGAATTTGTCCAGGAGGAGAGATTGGAATGTAGTTTCTTTTCTCTATATGTAGCTGTCAAGCTATCCATCACAATCTGTTGAAGATGCTGTCTTTTTTCCAATGTATATTTTTTGGCTTCTTTTTCAGAAATAAAGTGACTTTAAAAATGTGGACTTGAATCTGGATCCTCAATTCTGTTCCATTGATTGGTGTGTCAGCTTTCATTACCCCAGTGCCATTCTATCTTTCTTTCTCTAGCTATGTAGTATAAGTTGAAATCAGGGATGATGATACCTCCAAGTATTTTATTATTGTTCATAACTTTTCAGCTGTCCTGGGTTTTCTGTGTTTTCATTCACAATTTGAGGATATTTTTTTCAATTTCTCTGAAGAATTGTGTTGGATTTTTTTATACTGATTGCTTTGACTCTGTAGATTGCTTTTGGTAGGATGACTATTTTCATAATACTGATCCTACTGGTTAATGTCCATGGGAGTTGTTTCTGGATTCTAGCATCTTCCTCAGTTACTTTCTTAAGTATCTTAAAGATTTAATTTTAGAAATCTGTGTTTTATTTCTTTGATTAGATTTATTTTGAATAATTGAGAAATGGATCCCGTGAAAAGAAAAAAACTTTCACAAAGCAGAGGGCAATATCATGTCCTGGAGTAAAGAGACAGGCTTTAGCATGGAAGAGTACCTACCACCTATGCTTTTGACAGTGTATTAGTGTCTGGAATACAAGGAACAAAAAATCAAACACATCAAGAAAACAACCAAATTAAAAATGAATTATAGATCTGACCAGTGTTCTCAAAAAGTGAAATAAAAGTGGCTGGGGAATATTTTTAAATTCATCCACAATCCTTAGCTGTTAGGGAAATGCTAATTAAAATTATTTGAGGGTTTATGAACCATACTCTGAATAGCTAGGATACAAAGAACTGATGACAGAGACATGGAGAATATCAGAGTGAGCCCTCCTCAGTTCTTCTGCAGTGTGAGAGCTGCTGAAGCCAGGTAGTATGTAGCGGGGGAGTCCCTGACAGGCCAAGGTACCCTGACCATTGTGTAAATCTATAAAATGATGCCTGTCTTGTAGTTGGGATGAAAAAAAAAAGTCTGACCCTTTGTCCAGGAGCTATTGGGGATTCATCGATGCACTGAAGAGTCAGTTTTCTTCAAGTGTGTGTGCCCACCTAGGTTAACTATTCTTTCACAACCAAAAGTATGTCAGGATAAATATGACTTGATGGGTTTAAACTGACAGAAAAATAAAGAGAGGCAGCATTGTATGCATGGACAGGGAAAGGCCCTGGATCTGGGATGCGTTATGGGATGAGGAGGTGAATGTGATCAGAATACGTTGCACAAAATTCTGAAAAATGCTAAGAAAAATGGTGGAAAATATTTAAATATTTATCCCACACACTTATACCTCTTTCGATGCTCACGTGTAATTCATAAGTGACAAGTAAATATTGATAAGTGAGTTCAGTATTTGTCATTGCACATAGTTGCCTTTGTTTATTAGTTTGTTTTCCCAATATAGTTTTAAAAGACTGAAAAATACCTGTGTGGTATTTCAATTGTGAATCCATCTAAATTTGGGCCATTGGGAGACATTAAAATAGTGCTTCATTTTTGTTCTTAATGATGTGAAGTAATTCCTTAGTCCATTAAAAAAAAAAAACCTTTCTACCTCTGTTTTTATTAGTTTCTGTTTTTTATCTTTTTTGGTTAATTTTACTTGTGATTTGTCAGTTATTTAAGTGGATTATTTGATTGGTTATATGTTTTCTTTTTTATTTTCTGTTTGCTCATTTCTGGTTTACTTGTTATTTCTTCTCATCCAGTGAATGGTTTTGCTTCTTCTTGATGAAGCAGAAATTCAAGTTGCATTACTCAGAATTTTATTGGTTTTTTCTCTGATAGTTTTCTGTGTTCATTTTTACACATAAAGCTGCTTCTTCCAAGGGCCTTAGCTGGATCACAGAGTTTTTGAGAAGATGTAGTATCATGTTCATTTTATACTTGAAATTTGTAAATTCTCTCCTTGATTGTGGTAGTTGCCCAGTACGTAGTCAAACAATACGTAGATTGTTTTTTCCTGCTTATTTATATATCTTCCACTGTATATTAAATAGTACTAACAATTTTATAGTTATTTTTAATTAATGCTTGCTTTGTAACATACGTTGGGATCATTTGTTTAAAAAAATTCTAGATGGAGTGGCTGGTGAGATGGCTGAGCAGTTAAGTGCACCACAAATTCTGAAGTGCCACCTTGGTTAACTTGATTTTTTTTTATTTTTTCATTTGGGCACATCTTCAAAACTTTTCAATCTTCATTAATTTTAAGGCATAAAATATTTCTCGGTATCAAATTTAGTATATAGTGTCACATTCAGTGCTTTAAATGTATTATTTCAGATCTTTCTGTCATTTGTGTTTCTTCCAAGAGATACAGTATTATTCCAATATTTCTACATTTGTAATGAGTTGGTATTTTTCCCATACAAGTTTCAGCATTGATTTTTGCTTTCTATTTTTAACATTTTTGATATGGTTTTAAATGGAGAGTTCTGCATATCTATTTGAGCTTCCTAACTCTCTCTTCTGATTGTATATCAATTTCATATTCTTGTTTTTCTGAAAGTTTCTGCTATAATTTTGTTGAATAATTTCTCTGACTCTCTTTTTACCTGAGTGCCAATGTTGTTGTTTATTGTCACTTAAATATTTCTCAGGGTTTTGGGAAATTTTATTCATGATTATTACCTTTTCACTATTTATCTCTGGGTGTATTATTGTCTCAGCCTTATTCTCCATGAGTCAATTATTCTTTCTACTTTAATTTATGCAGCAATTTCAACTCCTAGAAGATATCAGAAAATTCATACAGAAGAGAAACCCTACAAATGTGAAGAATGTGAAAAGTCCTTTAGTCAAGTATCAAATCTTAGAGCACATCAAAGAATTCATCCTGGAGGAAGAAAACCATACAGATGTAAAGAATGCGAAAAGTCATTTTCTACAAACTCAAACCTTAGGAGTCATTGCAGAATCCATACTGGAGAAAAACCCTACAGATGTGAAGAATGTGGAAAGTCCTTTAGTCGAGTATCAAATCTTAGAGCACATCAAAGAATTCATACTGGAGAGAAGCCCTACAGATGTGAAGAATGTGACAAATTGTTTCCTATGAGCTCAAAACTTAGGA